CTAAACCCCTTAACCCTAAACCCCTTAACCCTAAACCCTAAACCCCTAAACCCTAAACCCATTTCGCAACTTTCTTCCCAGGCCTCTAAGCCTCCTGTGTGGATGCGAGCAGTGAACGAAGCGCTCATGTTGGCGATGGCATCGAGAATCGGCTGGGGATCCGTGTGCCTTGAGGAAGGCTGTAAGAGTTTAGGGGTTTAGGGTTTAGGGTTTAGGGTTAAGGGTTTAGGGGTTTAGGGTTTAGGGTTTAGGGGTTTAGGGTTAAGAAGTTTAGGGTTTAGGCTTTAGGGTTCATAACATGGGCTTTTTAAGGGTATATAGGGGTTATGGAAATTTACAAGGGTTTTTTTCCGGGGTTTGAAGAGGGTTCTGTACTAGGCTCCCCAGTATACCCACAATAACCAATGTACCTGTTGTGTTCCATCACCCCGTTTCATAAGGACACCTCCACAACTAAAAATAGCAGAAGGGTGCTACTGGGGTACCTGTCAACTACCAACAGTATCCCTTCTAGTTCCCTTGTGCTCATATAACAATATGCCCCAAAAAGCCCCAACCTAATTCTTGAGGCTCCAAACATTGACCTCGGTGCTGTCGGATGGTCTGCAACACTTCCGAAATGTCTACGTCCACCTTGATATTCTCGATTGCTGTCAAGACCGCCGAGAAGTCCACGTCGAGCTTCAGGTCCTTGGGTTTCCCAGTATCCGCTCAATAATGTAGGGGCCTTAATAATTAGAATAGGGTTTTTGTGCCCAATATACTATAATTACAATAAGGAACCCCTGAAATAGTTTCGGGTAATTATTTAGGCCCCTATACTAATATGGGTACCTACCTGGTTTCCTAGGATTGATGAGGACACCCACACCAGAAAGAGTACTAGTGGGAGGCCCAGGGTCTCGAAGGGCTTGCAGATCAACCCTGTTTGCCTCAATGGCGCTCATCACTGCTGTAAAGTCGATGTCCACCTTCAGCTGAGAAAGATCGACCCTGTTGGCATCGATGGCTGCCAGAACACGGGAGAAGTCCACCTCGGTCTTCTTGCCGTGAATGGCTGCCAAGACCGGCCCGAAGTCGATGTCGAACTTCTGCTCACGGATGGCTCGAATGACCTGAGAGAAATCGATATCGACCCTCTTGTTCTCAATGCGCGTCAGCGATGCGGAGAGATCGCGGAGGGAGCCAAGCACTTCCGTAAAGTCGACATCCAGCTTCTTTTCATCGATGCGCGTCAAGACGGATGTGATGTCAACATCGACGACGGACGGGCCAGGGGCAGCGGGGATGGTTATCGAGCGGATAGCTCGGAGGACTTCATCCAAGCTTGCCGACATTGACGAGAAGTCTATGTCGATCTTCTTCTCATCGATTCGTGTCAAGACTGATGTGAAATCGACGTCGAAGCTCTTCTCGCGGATAGCATTGAGCACATTAGTGAAATCGACATCTGTTTTTTTGGCATCAATGCGCGCCAAGACATCGGAAAAGTCGACATCTATCTTCTTGGCATCGATGTGCGCCAACACCGATGAGAAGTCAATCGATGAGTCAATGTCGAACTTCTGCGAGCGGATGGCTTCTAACAGCGCAGAGAAATCTTTGTCAAAGTTCTTCTCGCGAATGGCTTCTAACAGCGCAGAGAAATCTTTGTCAAAGTTCTTCTCGCGAATGGCTGTGAGCACATGTTCGATGCGTGTTAACACCTGCGACCAGTCTACATCGAACTTCTTCTCATCGATGCGTGTCAACACCTGTGAAACGTCTACATCGAATGTCTTCTCATCGATGCGTGTTAACACCTGCGACAAGTCGACATCAAAGTTCTTCTCACGAATAGCTGTCAACACTGGGTCGAAATCAACCTTGACCTTGGACTCGTCAAAGTGGGTCACCACCGCTGAGAAGTCGAAGGACGAAAAGTCGGCTTCAACTTTTCTGTTCCTCAAGTCTTTCAGGTCCCCACTCAGCAAAGCGAAATTCGCAGACATCTCGGCACGAATGCTCTTCATTTCCTGAAGTAGGATATCCGTGTGGCACTCTATTTGGTGCTTGGTCCTTACTTCCACAAGCAAAAAAACAGAGGTTTCACAGCTCAGAATATATGAGTCCAATGCCATAAACAGTCTTGCCAAAACACCAAAGCCTCAACCAAAACGTCTCAACACAAAACCGAAAATCTTCAAACACACCCAAACACTCGAAACCCTGAATTCCTAAAGCGCTCGCCTCAAAACCCTAAAGTGAAACCTTAAAACCTTCTAGAACGCTTTCCGGACCCTGAACAGGAACCTGAAGTGAACTCTTCAAGGGAAACCCCGGCGGAGATAAGCATCTGCTTTGAAATCTGTGATCGAACTTGCTCTAACAGCTCCACCTTGAAGTGACAAGTGGGCTTTCCATGCTTGCCCACATCCTGTTTCGATGCTTCAGGATTCAGGCCCTAAACCCTAAACCCTAAACCCTAAACCCTAAACCCTAATGCTTACGGAATAGGATTAGGGGATTTTGTGCTTCATGCGTTTGGGGCCGAGGGCTGTTTAGGGGGTTACGGTTTAGGGTTCTGCGTTCCCTAAACTACCCTAAACCCTAAACCCTGAGGGGTTTAGGGTTTAGGGTTTAGGGTTTAGGGTTTAGGCCCTAAACCCTAACGGCTTAGGTGTGGGACTCGGCGCGGCCTTGCAAACATCCTTCAGTCAGCATGTTGCAAAAACGCATAAATGGCTTCAAAGCAAGGGTCGGAACATTCAATAATAGGAATAGGGTTTCGGGCTTCGGGTTTCGGGTCCAGGGTTTAGGGTTTAGGGCTGGANNCTGGAATAGGGTTCTGGGGTATAATAAGGGAACCCCAAAATTAGTACTGGTACATGGTAGTAGTAGCAGCCTCCCCAAAGGTCCCTTTATAACTCAACCATGGTGCAAAATACCTCCAGACCGTATTCTAATCATCATGACCCCTGGATTATGGCTTCTGGTTCACGTTGAAGGCATCCCCAGCCCACCTCGATGTCTTCCATATCTCCCAAATGTCCATAGGGCGTCTGGAAAGTGTCGAGTTTTGACCACTGGTAGCGCTCCGCATTCCTCAGCACCAGATTCGGGAGTTTAGTTGGGGGATACTAGCTCTTAGTTTACGGCCTTAATGGCTTTGGATTTAGAGATTTGGGCTTTAGGGGTTTATGGCTTAGGGAATTTAGGATTTGGCGGGTTGGGAGGTTTAGATGCTAAGGGGACTTGCAGTCTGTGCTTCCATTGGTCTCGCACTGCTTCTGTCAGCAGTTACTACTGATACTACTACTTATGCGAAAACTTGCACCACCACCAC